TATATATATATATATATATATATATATATATGTATTTATTGTGTTTGTTTGTTTAAGGAAGAAAGAAACGATAAGCTAGAAGAAATAACAAAAAAAATAAAGGAGACAGTAGAAACACAATCAACGATAGACTGTACATACACCCCAGCTGGCCTACCGAGAAAAGGAGAAACAATACTGGGGATGCATGCAAAAGACAAACAAGTAAAATATTTTATTTTATTTTTTATTTTATTTTTTTTTGTTGTTTTGTTTTTTGTTTTTTTATTTGTTTTATTTTTGTTTTATTTTTGTTTTGTTTTTATTTTATTTTTATTCTATTTTTGTTTTTTTATTTTTGTTTTTGTTTTATTTTGTTTTTATTTTTTTTTCTTTCCCTTTTTTTCTTCTTGGCTTTCTCTGTTTATTTGTATTTGTTTCTTTTTATTTGTGTTTGTTTTTTTATTTGTGTTTGTTTCTTTTTATTTTTATTTCTTTTTTTTATTTGTTTATATTTCTTTTTGTTTGTTTATTTGTATCTTTACATTGGTATAGAGCCCGAGTAGAGAAGAGAGGAGACAATTTGTTAGTTTTATTTATTTTCTTCTTTTTTCTCTTCTTTTTTTTTCTTCTTTTTTGATCCTTTTTCTTTCTTTTTCTTTTTCTTTTTGTTTATGTGTGTATATACAGTGGTATAGAGCACGAGTAGAGAGGAGACAGTGTATTATTTTTATTTATTTTTTATTTTTTCTCTTTTTTTTTGTTTTTTTTCTTTTTTCTCTCCTTTTTTCTTCTTTTTTAATCCTTTTTCTTTCTTTTTCTTTTTCTTTTTCTTTTTATTTGTTTATTTGTTTCTTTTCAGTGGTATAGAGCCCGCGTAGAGAAGAGAGAAGGAGATAGTTTATTAGTTTTATTTATTTTTTTTATTTTTTCTCTCTTTTTCTCGTTTTTTTTCTTTTTTCTCTCCTTTTTTCTTCTTTTTCAATCCTTTTTCTTTCTTTTTCTTTTTTTTTTGTTTATGTGTGTATATACAGTGGTATAGAGCCCGCGTAGAGAAGAGAGAAGGAGATAGTTTATTAGTTTTATTTATAGATTATGGGTGTAAAGGCAAACTGTCGCTGCAGCAAATAAGGAAATGCCCTTCTTCTCTTTCTGCTGCTGCTTACCCTCCACAAGCTATACCATGCTGTCTCTCAGGTATTTATATAAATAAATAAATAAAAATAAATAAATAAATAAATAAATAAATAAATAAATAAATAAATAAATAAATATAAATAAATATATGTATATATATACAGCAAAAAAAACAAAAAAAAAAACAAAGTGCAGGATATTCTTATTCTTTCCTTCTGCTCCACCTCGTGCTGCTGCTGCTGCTGCTGCTACTGCTGCTGTTGCTGCTGCTGCTGCTGCTGCTGTTGCTGCTTTTGCCGCTGCTGCTGCTGGTGTTGCCGCTGCTGCTGCTGTTGCTGCTGCTGCTGCTGCTGTTGCTGCTGCTGCTGCTGCTGTTGCTCCACCTGCTGCTGCTCCACCTCCTGCTGCTGCTGCTGCTGCTCCACCTGCTGCTGCTGCTGCTGCTGCATGCAGGCCTTCTCCCGCCGCCTGACATGGAGGAAGAGGCCGCAGATGCTTTATATGAATTGACAAAAAATATTTATTTTTATTGTTTTATTGTGGGAGTGAGAGACGATAAAACTAAACTTTGTTTGCTTATTGAGGAAGAAGAACACGCTAATAAAGGTATTTATATATTTATTTATTTATTTATATATTTATTTATATTTTTTGTATTTTATATATATATATATATATATATATATATATATATACATATATACATATATATATTTGTTTATTTATTTATTTAAATATAGATGTATATATGTATACATAAATATATATGAATATATATATATATATATATATATATATATATATATATATATATATATATATAT